AACGTTGGTGGAACCGCAGAAGGTTGGTTTCTCGGTTCGGATCTTTTAGTGTTCAAGTTTCTGGGAGCTGTTGCAACTGGGCTGGCGCGTTTGGGCGCTTGGTCGGGTAAGCCACAGATCAGGAGCTCCGAACTGCTTTCAGGTCCTGAAGATGACGATTTGTCGAAACGTCGACCAATAAAGCGGTTTCTTCCTTAACAAACCTGTACGGCAAAACAGTGGAAAAACATTATACAATATGCCCAGGTTTCAAGAAGACCGAACATGGAAATATAGAGAGGTTTTTATGAGTTCACTTCTTCATTCATCCGTGTCCGGTGCTGCTTCAATAAATCTACGTATCTATTGACGTACCTCGACTGTCTACAAGAAGACATCTACAACAACTGGCAATCATCTACAACAGTAGCCAAATCCCTGGAGTGGGCGGGGCTTGCACTAAGTAAGGCATGCGTGGCTGAGAACAAAAATTCATAACTCTATCCGAAAACATTCTTGGGCGCGGAAGACAGTGTTTGCAGGTAATAGAAGGAGTGTGGCTAAATATCTGGAATTGGTGGGCTTTGCAGGCTGAGCGAAAATGCATGACTCTGTTTAAAAAAGTTTCAGAATGTGGGAAAAAGGGTTAGGGTCAGCTAGAAGACGGCTGATCACAGGTAGCATAGGTCTGCACTGTGGTGGACAGGGCTATGTTCAACTACCAATAATTCTGCTCGAATGATCAAAGTATTGGGTTGTAACATAAGTTCGTAGAGTTTTTTCACAAAGATTTATCTGAACCAAAAAACAATAATTATAATAATAAATTAACCAATGATGTATCCTCCGTTACTGTTCACGACCTCTTCCCATCTCTCGACCAATTTGTTGTTGGCGATTCGCCGAAAATCGGTCGTTGTGGTGTTGAAGAATTTGTTGAGCCAGTTTTTAAGGTCCCCTTCGCCATCGAAGGTAACACCCCTCATTGGGTTTAACATAGAGCGGAAAAGGTGATAGTCGGCAGGTGCAAGATCCGGAGAGTGCGGTGGATGCTGAGGAACCTCCCATTCAAGCTCTTGGGGTGTTGTTTTGACGACTTGAGCAATATGGGGCCTGGTGTTGTCGTGGAGCAAGATGACTTGACCACCTCTATAAGGTCTTTTCAGCCGAATAGCCTCATTTACTCTGTTCAGCTGGGTAATGTAGACCTCCTTGTTGACAGTGGCGTTTCGTTCGAGCAGTTTCCCAGTGCACCACGGCTACCCGGTCCCACCAAACGCAGATCATGACCATTTTTTGGGTGAAGATCTTGCTTGACTCTCGGCTGTGGCGCCTTCCCTGGGGCCACCCACACCATTCAGTAGACACCCCTAAGACACCTTTCCCGTACACACTGCATATGTCCCGAGCGGTTT